CAGCCCTCATAACATGAAATGAAATCATATCTACTAAATTCTCACACTCATGTGCACAATATTTACAAATTCCCAGGTGGCTTCCATTTTCATAAACACCTTAAATTTTGAGTTTCCACTTCAATAAAATACTCTCACTAACCACTGCCTAATGACTTTGTGTTTAAATAAATCAACTCATAACTCAGCCCTATACCTTGCTTTTTCCACATAAACACTCAGAAATTGTCATTTTTGTATTGTATAACATACTTTCCTGATGTAATGGCAAAAGACACCACTCAACATGAATATAAGGCAGTCCTGTTATCAACGTTCTCACTCACCCCACTGTTTCACTTACTCATTTCCTATCCGTTTACCTCCTGCCTCCCCTAAAGTTCTGTGCATTTCCAAAGCAGAGCAGTTTGCCAGTTTGCCCATTTCATCCTCATTTTTGACTCCTATAAATGCTTTCAATTTCAATTTTTTTAAAAAAAAAAGTATATTCTTTAATGCCCACTAAGTTGTGGCCATAGAAAATAAGGAACAAGATAAAAAAGCAAGAGAGAAAGTCAGGAGCCATGAAGGACAGTGTGTGACCTCTAGATAGGAGAGTCAGGGCTTCCGGATGGGCTAAGAGACTTCCTCCGCTGCCAGGGCAGGGAATTCTTACCTTTCTTTCCCACTGGCCTTGGTTAATTGCAGTAGAAAGTGCCTGCTACATTCTCCCCATTTTTCTTCTCCTCATTAGGAATTTCCATTGTGGATTCCCAATTCTCATTGCAACGTGGTATATTGGGGCTTCGAAGCTGAGTATTCTTTTAAGTTATGGGACACATACCACAAAGAAACTTCAACATAAAATGTTGGGAATGTAACCCTTGGGAAGGATGGAGCTACTTCGCTGTTTGGGAGAAGTGTGTGAAGGGATCATGAGTACCCAAAGGCATAATTCTGGCCGAGGCTGACAGCTGCCTACCCCAACATTCATCACCCTTCCTCACTGCAGTGAATGTTTCTAAGGGTCTGTTGCCTCAGCATCCAGTCTGAACACAAACTTAATTTTCTCATATGAGGCACAGGGCTCAGTCATCCTTGACATAGTTTCCAGTTCTAAGCCACAAGTCCAAGAAAAAAAAAAAGAGGAGCTTTAAATTTAAGTACTGAGCAGAATCCAGGTCTAGGAAACATAATCCTAGCTCTAGAATACTTACTGATTTATGAACCAACTTTTAAAAGAGGGGTGATAAAAGGAAATTAAATATGTCATATATATATATATATATATACACACAATATTTTAAAGTAAACATATGACAAATAGATGAATAATGTCCATTTAATATATAACTACATCAAAACAAAAATTTTACAATTTGATTTGACTGGGAGTTCATATATTAATTTTTATACTAAAAAATTTATATAACAAAAGGACAAAAAGGCATGATTTGGTTTTGTGCCTTTACAACATAGGTACTAACTTAACTCCAACAACAGCAAAAATGCTCAAATTGACAAAAATTTATGGACTTAATATTAGGGCTCAAATTATAGTTACACATGAGGATCCCACTGAATTTACACACTCTGCCCTTATCGTCTTGAGAGACAACTACATATACCATTTTGAAAAGTAAGCACATCTCATTTTAACTACAGCCTTGCTAAATTACCCATAGTCATACCTATTGTTCTAAAATAGCCTATGTTGGCGGTAGGCTGCTCTATGTTGGAGGTATACATAATAAATAATACATTAAAATTAAAGTAAGTTGTTGGCACTTAGAGATTGGCTTGATAAAAGGGGATCACTTAGTCCCCCAGTTAAGACAGTTAATATGGCCCAATGTAGGGTGAAACATGGCGCTCAATAATTAAGTTTTGTTACACAAAACAAAATAAAATGGTGACTATCCATGCTGTGTCTCCATTTATCAGCCCAAAGTGCTTCCTGTTCTCATATCTGAGAATAGAAAATATCATAAAGAGTCCCTTATGATGGATGACCACAAGCATTAAGGAGGTAGTCCCATCTATCAGGGACCCCATACATAACAATATTATTAAAAATTGCTAATACTATTCAGTCAAGAACTGGTAAATATTTTGTTCTCATTCATTTGGCTAGCATGTTCTGTTAAGTGCTTATTTCCACAGACCCTCAGCTACAGTTGCCTCCACCTCTGAAGAAACACAATACACCTTTCCAGGCTACCTAGGGGTGCCCTCATAGCTTTGTCATCACACACAAGCTTTGCAGACAAGAGCTTAATGACATCCACAATCTCCATGAGCACAGATACAGCATTACGTTGAGGACATCCTCCTCCAAGAAGAGTCACTTGATACACACATTACGGTCATTTAGACTAATTTGCCTCTTAGCCTATTCAAGGTACTACAACAAAATTTATTACACAGGGTAATTTATAAACAACATAAATTTCAGCCAGGCATGGTGGCTCATGCCTGTAATATCAGCACTTTGGGAGGCTGAGGCGGGTGAATAACCTGAGGTCAGGAGTTCAAGACCAGCCTGGCCAACATGGTTAAACCCTGTCTCTACCAAAAAATATAAAAATTAGCAGGGCATGGTGGCATACCTGTAGTTCCAGCTAGTAGGGAGGCTGAGGTAGGGAACTTGGTTGAACCCTGGAGGTGGAGGCTGCAATGGGCTGAGATCATACCACTGCTCTCCAGCGTGGGTGACAGAGTGATGCTCTGTCTCAAAACAAACACACACATACAACATAAATTTATTGCTCACAGTTCTGGGAGGTTATAAAATCCAAGGTCAAGGTGCTAGCAGATTCAACATCTGCTGACGGCCATTACTCACAGACAGTGCTTTCTATGAGTCCTCACATGGTGCAAGGGACAGACCAGTGCCCATAGGACTCTTATAAGGCACTCATCCTACTTATGAGGGCAGAGCAGTCATAACATCATCACCTACTAAAACAGCTACCTTTTAATACCAGCACCTTGGAGATTAGAATTGCCCATACAAATCTGGGGAGGGGAGAAACAGACATTCACATCATAGCAGGTAAGTTATAATAAAGCAATCACAACTTTAGGAATGTGGGGTTTACAAAGTGTACCAACCTAACCTCATCCTCGCTATATACTTGCCCTATGAATCTATTTTATTTGATGATTTTTGAGGTGTATTCTTTGGTTTCCTTTTTTTTTTTAATAAAGAGTTTTATTTATTTATTCATTTATTTTTTTTTTTTGAGACGGAGTTTCGCTCTTGTTACCCAGGCTGGAGTGCAATGCCGCGATCTCGGCTCACCGCAACCTCCGCCTCCTGGGTTCAGGCAATTCTCCTGCCTCAGCCTCCTGAGTAGCTGGGATTACAGGCACGCACCACCATGCCCAGCTCATTTTTTGTATTTTTAGT